AAACCTTGCCTTCTTCTTTATAGCCTGGAAAAAGTAAAGGCACTTGTCGCCTGACCGGCTGAGAAATCTTCCTAGAGCCGCCAGACAACCTGTTAATTTTTGAACCTCTCGGACGGTGCGAGGCGACTGCATGTCAAACTCAACCCCAAATACACATTTCTCGGGGTTCGCCTCTATTCCTCTCTGATTGATGAGGAATCCGAGAAATTTCCCAAACTCAACCCCAAATACACATTTCTTGGGATTGAGCATGACATGGTGTCGCCTGAGTGTGGTGAAAGTTTCTCGGAGGTCCGACAGATGGTCTTTCTGAAGCTTGGACTTAACAATCATATCATCGATGTATGCCTCAACGTTTCTCCCAATTTGGTCAAAGAAGACCGTATTTATCATTCTTTGGAAGGTGGCCGGGGCATTCTTCAAACCAAACGGCATGACCGTGTAGCAATATAGCCCTTAATCAGTGACGAAGGTCATCTTCTCTTGATCTTTCTTCCACAAGGGAATCTGATGGAAGCCAGAGTAGGCGTCCATGAAGCTCATCAAAGCATGGTCAGCTGTTGAGTCAACTAGACTAACAATTTTGGGCAGAGGGTAACTGTCCTTGGGGCACGCCTTGTTTAGGTCCGTGTAGTCCACACACATTCGCCAGGTACCATTCGGCTTTTTGACAAGCACAACATTTGCGACCTAGTCTGGGAAGTAACATTGCCGAATGAACCCTACGTCAAGCAGCTTTTTAACTTTGGCGGTTGCCGCCTGACTCTTTTCTTCGCCATGGTTCCGCTTCTTCTGCCTTACCGGCTTCTTTTTCGGATCCACGGCCAGTTTATGTACCGCCAGGTCAGGACTGATGCTTGGCATTTCATGAACTTCGAATACAAAGATGTCTTTGTATTCTTTCAAAAGTTGGTGAAAATCTTCACCCAGAACTCTAAGAGCATTCATCCTCACCTTGACTGTTCGGTCAGGGCGCGAGTCGTCCAGGACCAGGTCCGTATGCTCACCAACTGGCTGAGGGCAGAATTCGTCTGACGGCTCCTCTGCCAGTGATTGCTATCTTTTTTCTTTTCTTTCGGCCCCCAACTGGGCAGCCTTTCTTTTCTTGCCGCCTGCTTCTTGAGCAGGCGCATCCTCCTTGACAATGTCAAGATCTGCTTTTTCACCACTTGGCCCAGCGGCTGCCACAGTAGGTTTGATATCCGAGAGGTAGCACTCCCGGGCCATCTTCTGATCTCCCCTTAGGGAGCCGACTGTTCCATCATCCTTCTCAAATTTGAGCAACATTATTTAGGGTAGGTCGTCCCAGGATCATGTTGTAGGCCGAGAGTTCCTCAATTACCAGGAACCGGACCACCATGTGACGACCCTTCCCTTTCTCACCCAAGCGGATGGGTAAATCCACTCGCCCCACTGGGTGTACGACTCCTCCTCCAAACCCTACTAGAGGGTGGGATACCGGATGTATGCAATCAGTCTTGTATTTGAGCTTTGACAGACACTTGCTACTGATAATATCGGAGGAACTACCAGTATCTATGAGGATTCGGCCAACTCTTTGGTTGGCCACTTTGCATTCAATAACAATGGGGTCATCATGCGGCCCCTTTACCCCTCCTAGATCTTCTTCTGTGATGACAATCTCTGGGAATGAACTTTTGGAAAACCGTTCTTGGTGAACGGAATTGACATATAGCAGCCTGATATTGTCTTTATTGCCCCTGATAGTGGGGCCGCCTCCTGAGAAGCCGCCTGCAATTGTATAGACGACTGCATCATCTGTGTCAGAACTATCGGCCTGTTGGTTCTTTTTGGCCGACTGCTTATTCTTCGAGGAAGTATTCCCCTTAGACTTCTTGACATAGGAGTCAAGGTCGCCTTGTTCCGCCAGGCGGTCTAGGTAGCACATGAGACTGATGCATTCGTTGGTTTCATGACCAACGTCTTCGTGATAATGGCAGAATTTATCTTGGTTCCGATTGCTCGCGGAACCCTTCATGGGGGTCGGCTTCTCGATTGAGATTCGGCCCTTGATTTCTTTGAGGATAGCTTGACTATCCTTGCTGAACGCATACTTTGGAGAGTATGGTTTGAATTCTTTCTTCTTTTTCTAGGCCGGCTGTTTAGAGGAATCAGTCGCCCATACCTCTTTTCTCTTTTTATCATCCTTATTGACCGACTGCTTTGGTCGGCCTTCTTTTTTGTCGGACCTCCTTCCGTCCGACTCTTTCCAGTACTACAAAGATCAGTCGCCTGTATATAGGCTTCTGCTTCAATCAAGGCTTCCTGAAGAGTCGCAACCCTCTTTCGAACTAGATCAAACTTGAAGGTCGACCCGTCCTTGAGACCTCTGAAAAAGTCAGTGTAGGCCACCTCATCCGGTAGCCCTTGAATCTGTATCCTCATCAGGTTGAACCGCCTGATGTATGAACGGAGCCCCTCCTTCTCTCCCTGTTGAATTGTCCCTAAATCAAGGGTCGTCTTCTTTGCAGGTATGTTCATGGCAAAGTTGGAGGTGAATAAGTAAGCAAGCATCCTGAAGTTGTTCACACAACCAGTCGGCAGGTTGCCGAACCATTGTTGTGCGATTCCTTTGAGAGTCGCTGGGAAACACTTGCACCAAGTGGGATCATCCAAACCTTGGAGATACATTAGGTTGGTGAACGCCATCAAATGGTCTTCAGGGTTAGTAGTGCCGTCATAGGCGCCTACTAGCACATTCTTAACTTTGGCCGGCTAGGCGGCCTCTGTAATTTCCTTGGAGAAAGCGGACGGCTGTTCCCCAAGTCTTAGCAACCGTAGTTGCCAGTCCAAAGGCTGGACATTTTTTGCCGCCTGTCCTCCAAACAAAGGTGGCTGCAAAAAATATTGTTGTTGCGGTACAAATGGTAAATTTGGTACCGCCTGGTCGTTATGAAATCCAGACCGACGGGAGGTACCGCTTGTCTGACTCTCATGATTTGATTGAGTATATCTCATAGAAGTATTATGCAGACTATCTTGGAAATCTGAAGTAGAGGTCGACTCTGACAGTCGGTCGTTCTTCTTTTGCTCTAGCAGTAGCCGAGCGTCTGAGTATGTTTTCTTTGACCTGTCCGCTTGTGTATGACGAACGGGCTTCCTCTTCCCTGGTGTGGGAAAACAGTACTTTGAGAAGTCAAGCACAAGCGGCTCCTACTTCCTAGAGTTAGGATGAGGGGTCGCCTCTCGTCCTTGAACAGGCTTCCTTCTTCTTGAATGGGAAGGCCTTTTAGCCGACTGCTCCTTAGACAGACCAGGCGTCTTCTTGTTGATCAGTTCTTGGATCTCCCTCTTGAAGCCCCTCATGAAGGTCATGAGTTCGTTTCTTGTAATGGGAGCAGACCCTTCAGCCGCCTGCTGCTCATCAAGCGGTGTGCCGACTGGATTACTGGGTCCAGTTTGGTGATCTAACCGTTCTTTCCTTTCGGTGTGACGGGTACGTCTGGCCCTTAGGGTCCCGTCTGAGGCTGTGTGTGCTTCAACTTCAACCTCATTTTCAGTATCATGATCTGAGTGAACTTGAGGGTCGTCCAGGGGACGCCTCTCTTCTGGAGTTAGTACAGACGTTGATGCCATCTCAAAAGTACTCTCCCCACAGATGGCGCCAAGATGTTTCGGGGTTTTTTTTGATGTCCTACGGGAGAGTTACAATTCCGAGATTAGAACCGGACGCCTGTACCTGCAAAACAAACGGAGACTCCGAGTGATTGGAGTTCCGCCTCCAACGGTCAAGTTAGAACTTGTTTAAGGAGTAATTAATGCGGAAAAGTAAAATGTCTTTCTCTGGGTAATACCTTTTAATAAGGATTAATGAAGGTATTTATAACCTTGGGATGCGTGCCAATCCTAGGTTTTCGGTTAACCTAGGGCTGATTGGGCTTCCCTTGAAAGTTGGGCCTAGGTGGCCGGTTTTTCCATTAGGCATGGAGGATGCCACGTGTCGTGACATAATAGGTCCTTGGTGGACAAATAGGCGCGTGCCACGTGGCAGGCTCTGACAAGTCCAATTAGAGGACACTTGGCAGGACCTGATTGGCCCACATGGCGCATTCTGATTGGTGGGAGCAAAATCCCTTAATCACTTTGCCTCATATATATTCTACTTTTCTTGTTGTATTTTATATTTTCTTTTTATTTTACGAAGTATCCTTTGCCTCATATATATATATGATTTTTTTATTTGAAACAAATCAATCCATTAATAAAAAACTATCCGACATCTACAAATGAAATCTGAATTAACAAATACATAAAATTAAATCAAATTATGGTTTCTTTCATCAAATCTACGATCATTGAAAATATCTTGCACTGTAGTACATCTCTTGCACACATCGCTAGAATATACAACCTTTTCGGAGAGACGGTCTAACGATTTGTTTTAGCTATAAGGATAATTTTCATCTGATTCGCTTGAACGTATTTGAAAACTTGACAACCGTTGCGATCCCGAACAAATCTTTACCAACAAACTGACAATAGGGAAAAAGATGATTACCTTTTTGATAAACCCTAACACACAAACAAACCCAAACATAAACAAACAACTAAACTAACAAAAACTAACGACTCCACCGTAGGGAGACAGACGAATATCTACACTACTTGTGTAGATTTATTGAAACCTAAATTGCAAAACTAAAGAAAATTAAGGGAAAAGGGTCGAAAGTAGTCTAATTTTCAAAGAAATTAGACTATTCCGGTCTAAACGACTAAGATCTTGGAGAAACCCTAGAAGAGAGGAGGATTGAAAAGGAGAGGAGAGGTGAGAAATTTATTATTGCCTCATATATATTCTACTTTTGTTGTCATATTTTATATTTTCTTTTATTTTACGAAGTATGTATTTTCTTTTTTTAGGTTTTTTTCTTGATAATAGGGCTTTTGGTCTTTTCATGTGATAGGTTCGAACCATTAGCAATGATGTACTTTTTTTTTTTTTTTTTTTTTTTTTTTTTTCTTTTCTTTAATTTTTTTTTATTATTATTTTTTTATAAAAACTTAAAATAAATAATTAAAAAAAAAAACCCTTAAACCCTAAACCCTTCTCTGTCAAACCGTTATTCAGTGGAGTCACTTCCCTCCAAGCTGTAAAGCCACCATTTCCATGGCGACCAAAGTCTTGAATCCTCTCCTTACTTCTCTTCCATTGTTACTCACTCGACGAAGGTTCAAATTACGCACATTTTGCTGCGGAAATTCTCCTTTCAGACTTGGGACGAAGTGCCTTGAAATTTTCAAGGAGGAATTCGAGGTTGGAAATCGCTTAACGTCCTTCGAAACTGGTAAAATTGCTCGCTTTGCTAATGGCGCTGTTGTCATGGCTATCAATGAGACCAAAGTCCTCTCTACTGTTGCTTCTGCTAAAGGGGATTCTGCTCGTGATTTTCTACCTCTCACTGTAGGTGCCTGCCCCTTTTGTCTGATTATTATTGAATATCGAAGTACCTACAAATTGAAATTAATTGTTTATTTTGTTTGCTTAAGGTTGATTACCAGGAAAAACAGTATGCACAAGGCGTAATTCCGAACACATTTATGCGGAGGGAGGGTGCCCCAAAAGAGCGCGAACTTTTGTGTGGTCGTTTAATTGATAGACCTATTAGGCCATTGTTTCCTCCTGGTTTCTACCATGAGGTTCAGGTATGATTTATTTTCATTTATTAGGCTATTATTTGTATGTTAGGTGTAAATGTATGATGGCAATGCTATTGAAATTATATGTTATATGAAGCATCCTAATATGATTCCATATTTATATCAACCATGATAGTGTTTATGACCATCGATGAGGTATGCTAGGTGTAAATGTATGATGCCAATGCTAATGAAATTATATGTTATATGGAGCGTCATAATATGATTCCTTATGTATATCAACCATGATAGTGTTTATGAACATCTATGAGGTATGCCAGAGGTAATGTCTGACCAATAATTACATATAAACTCAAAAAAAAAAAAAAAAAAAAAAAAAAAAAAAAACCAAACAAATATTTGTCCCTTAATTGGTGCCTACCAAATGAGTTTTTAAAGTTATTTTTGCACCACCTTCTCGCCACCTCCTTGTATGACGAGCAATAATATTACCACTGCCCTTCAATTCTCTTCTCCGTAGGTAATGTCAAGTGTTCTCTCCTCTGATGGAGAACAAGACCCTGATGTGATGGCAGCTAACGCAACATCTGCTGCCCTTATATTATCAGATATACCTTGGGGTGGTCCTATTGGAATGGTTCGTATTGGGAGGATTAATGGTCAATTTATAATTAATCCTACCATGGATGAGGTAAGAAATTCAGATCTTTTTTATGTATCTTTTGTAAGTTTTGTTAGCATAGATCTAAAAGGATGTTAAGTATGTTTTGCACCATATATACACACACTAAGATTACGTTTGAAGATGATTCTGAAGCTTTCCTCTTGCTTTCCAATCCTTCCTTTATCTCTGTATATGGTGTATATTGATAATGTGTATTGACTTTTACTACTCTTTTACTTAAACAATGGAAAATAGTTTTTGTGAGTGACTTGTCATTAACCAATCAATACCGAATATAGTGGTTAGTTGTGAGTAACCGAACACCGCTTAAGTTAAATTGCTTCTTAGTGAGGGAACATGAGTGGGAATTCTTATAATGCTGGGGACATGCACCATAATGGGAAGAGTTAACATTTCTTGCTAGATAGTACGGAAAAGTTTATGAAAATAATAATGAGAAATTTGGGTATTAATCATTTACAATCTATTTTCCAATGCAATAAGTTAATAGGAATGGTCAATCATATAACAACAATTTTCAAATAAATTACTAGTATAAAGGCAAATCTGGAGAAAATTTTGAGGAGATTTAGGCTTCAAATTTGCTTGTAGTTTTTCTTTCTTATATTGGTAAGGTTTTGATTATGGACCCCATGGACATGCTGTGCGAGCATCAGTATCGTGCTCCATTTTTGTGGTTATTTTGTCCATTGCTTTGTTTGTCGCTATCATAGCCATTTGAGCTTCGCAGGGTAATAGCATGGCTATGATGCACTATAGTGAAATTATGCCAAGAACAAATTGATTATATTGATTGTGAAGATCACTATTTAAAGCCTAATACGCTGCTAAAGAGACTTGTATAGCCCAAAGAGAGCACCATCAAGAGGCTTTATGCATGCCTATTCCCAAGAGATAACATCTGACCATCAGCATTTTGTAACACAAACTCTGCCAAGGAAACTTAATTTTGAGAGGAGTGTGTTTAACATTTTTGTTTTATTGCTTCATTTTTTATTTCAACTTGTTCATTTAACATGGAGTTCTTGCCATTCCAAGCACACAAATGGCAAATTAATTGGGAGACAATCAAACATATAATCAGCTGCTAGCTACATGCTACTTGATAAAAGTGTGTCAAAACATAAACAGCTCCTCTTCAGTAGCTGCTGCCTTTAGCTAACTTGATCAACTATTTTATTTGATTAGGATGTTAAATCAACATGTTTTGGTACAAAGTTTAGCTAATGCTTAAAATTATTTTTTTCTTTACTAAACCTAGAAGTTGTTACGGCCTTGTTCGTTCACCTTATTTTCATTTATTGTATGAAAAATAAGTTCAGATAAGATCAAAGATAAAAAGTTCTAAAAGTTTTGGTAAGGGTTGATAAGGGCTAAATTTACAACTAAAATAACTAAGTTCTAATAAGGTCTAATAAGTTTTGATAAGTCCAGATACTATAAGATAAGTGTAAGTAAGTGAATTTAGGTGAGTTGAACACACTCTTTGTGTTTGTAGTTGAACAAATTAAACTAGAAATGATTTGGAATTCAATTTGGAGGGGAATGGATCATCAAGTTTTGGTAATTGTGTATGGCACACTAGTTGAATGTCCAATATGTTCGAATCGTCTTGGATGGATCGTAAATTGTTTTTTCTAATCTAGACCTTCACTTAATTTCAAGGGAAATGGGAGCCCATATTATCTAAATTAGGCCCTCTAACATCTACATGGAATGAAATACTTTAATTAACCTTCTATGCCATACTTCTAATTGGCATATTAGGATTATCTAATTAGCTGGTTTATGGTTTGGTTCTAAAATCCTTTAGCTTAGGCTTCAACAAATTTCACTCGAGTGTTTAGCCTAAGGGTTCAAGATTATGATTTGTAAGACTTCAGTCACCTAAATTTTATGATTTAAGAGGGTATTTTAGGTAGATATTTTAGCTTCACGTGCTAAACAATTTTACTTTGCTAAAATTAAGCTCCACATGCCTAATTTAAGTTTTATATTTCTGGTGTGTAAACACAATGAATAATAGGGAAAATGAAGGTTCCGAATTCGAAATATCGAAAAGCTTATAGGCTGAATAAACACATATTCACTGATTGTTAATCATTGTCCTACCTTTACGTTGGTTATTAAGTCACACTTATTATGAATCCTTATTGCCTAAGAAAGCTCAAAACAAAAAAAAGGTTGAAAACAAAGTTTACAAAATAATTCTGAAAAATATTAAGAAACTCAAACGTGCTTAAACACATGATATACCTACCCTAAAAAGGGTAGTAAAAAATATAAACCAACTCTGAAAATAATTGTGATCTAACTAGGACCTACTAGACAAACGGCTAGGTCAGCCCAACTTGCCACCTTCTTCTTGTTTAATCTCCAAGTAAAAGTGAACACGAAGGAAATATATGCAAGTATCACATAAGTTTGCCCTCAAATCTGATTACTTCTTGGAAAATGTTGACATGTTCTCTCCTTTTGTCATCTTAGAATGGAGTTGTTTAATTTGCTTATAGTATTAGAGCTTTGCTATGTCAAGGAGTATTTGCAATCACCTATGAGTGAACCATCATATGACACTGATATAGAATAGCTATATGTTGGTTTTGTATGTCATTTTGCACATGATTTTTGCTATGCCTATAGCTATCAAATTTGTGTAAGATTTCTATGCTGAAATAACTTGGGTTGTGGGTGAATGGTGTATATGTGTTGAATACAGATATTTATTTCTGGGAAGGAATACCTTTGCGTGCAATGGTAGAGATCATATATTCTATGGAGTTCATTTTTGAAGTCTTTAATATGATATATTGTTGTTTCTTGTTCTTTCCTATCTCGACTCACGTAATTAAAATGGACATCAGACCTTGGAATATGCTCAAAATAACAAATCCAAGACACTACTTTATATGAACAACTTGCAAGCTTACTTAATGTTGAAACCTAGGAATTTGTATATTAAATGGCTTGGCTCCCTGGAATATGTATTCTAATGGTTCACATGTCCAAAACTAATAATCGTGGGAGATTGACCTGCATCATAGATGTACGTATAGGTAAACCTTTATTGAAATTGTACCTCCTTTGATGGTTCTCTAGTAAATAATGAAGAAAGCATTTGAGTCTCTATGATGAAAAAATATTGTGGTGGCCTTGCTGTGAAATACTTCAATTATTTGAGTTGAAATTAATGTTGTAAAAGGCTTCATGTGCATCAAGGCACTTTGGGTCTTGAAGTGTTAGTCTAAGGTTAAGTCAAGTGCATGTGCCTTGTCAAGGTGACATGCATACAAATATTTCTATAAATATATGGTAATGCGATGCAAAATGTGTAACAGGGTAACACATTCCGTAGTTATCAAAGTCTTCTTCCTTTGTGAATTGTGATAGAATTCACCATTCTCACGATCCGCTGTCAATGCACTTGGACTGTGAAGCTTTGTCTCTCCATTTGCCTTCACCATTGGTTTTCTTTGTGCAATGTGCATATATTGGCATGTTTCATGTGCCTCATCAACCTCAATGGAACTTTTGCCTTGCACGAGAAACACTGTGCTTGGGCTCCTAAGAGAGTATATAATCGAGCTTTGTTCCTGGGTGCCTTGGTGCACTTACAATGTTTAGAATTATTAACTCTATTGCCTTGATGTCAATGTTCTGCAGCTGAGCTCGAGTGATCTTAACCTGGTGTATGCCTGCACAAAGGATAAAACCTTGATGATAGATGTGCAAGCTTGCGAAATTTCTGAAAAAGATTTAAAGGCAGGCCTGAGGCTTGCGCATCCTGAGGTCAGTTTCAAATTAGCATTCTTCTATATTGTATGGATAATCTAGAGAGTATTGGTGAACCTTGGCTTAAATTCTGCAGGCTGTAAAATATCTTGAGCCTCAAATCCGCTTGGCTTCTAAAGCTGGCAAACAAAAGAAGGAATACAGATTATCTATGATGCCAGAAACTACAATGGAAAAGATTAGGAAGTTGTCAGAATCACGTATTGAAGCTATTTTTTCTGATCCTACTTATAGCAAGGTAAACTAATTACTATTGTAAATGTTTTCTAGTGAATGTCAGATTCTTGATTTCATTCAGTGTTTTATAGAAGTAGAAAATTGATCCGTCTTCTTTTTCATAATTTTAATGCTTAGTTTGAAAGAGGAGAAGCTTTAGACCAAATCACCCAAGATGTAAAGAAATCCCTTGATGAAGAATGTGATGAAGAAAGCATACAAGGACTATCCAAGGCAGTAGATACTGTGAGGAAGCAGGTAGTTTGTTTGTCTTGTTATATTCTGCATAGTTTCCTGGCATTCTTTACTAAGTTAAATTCTTGTAAGACATACTGGTAAGTAGCCTTTTTTTTGGGGTTTTTGTTTTGGTTGTAAATCTAAGTCATGAAGTATTTTTCTTGGTGCAATTAGGCTTACAACCACTCTTTCTGCAATTTTCAAAGTCATGAATTTGGATTACTTTCTTTTTATTTTGCTCATAACTCAAGGTCAAGGATGAGCTTGAGACCAGTCTCAGCACCTTTTTCTCACATGATTTGTTGACTTTCTTCTGAATGGGGTCTAGAGAGAAATACTCCTTGAATCCTCTAATGTAGGCAACCCATTGTCAAATCTTCTTAATTACAATTGAAAGATGCTGACTCAACATTAGGAGTGCATTTACCATATCAGTAACTATATATTTTGCCAGCGCTAATCTTTTGTCTTTCCCTTTATCTTCTACCTTTTGTGCTCATGGATTTTTAATTCCATACATGTCTGAATGTTGGGAGTAATAGTTAGAATGATGTCTTGCCAGATTGTTCGAAGAAGGATTCTTAAAGAAGGTGCGAGAGTTGATGGACGGCGCCTTGACGAAGTGAGGCCAGTTTACTGTGAATCTGGTAACTTACCTGCTTTGCATGGATCTTCCCTTTTCTCACGTGGAGATACTCAGGTTAGTATATCTATCTATATATTTTCATTGGAAGCAGGACAAAAAATTTGAAATGGGATGCTTTGAAGTTTCATTCATGTCACTTGCCATGATACACTACAAGTATTAATTCGTACAATATCTTTAGAAACAGGACAAAAAGACTTATATGGGATGCTTTGAAGCTCTATTCATGTCACTTGCCTTGTTAAACTTCAGGTACTATGTACTGTGACTCTTGGAGCACCTGGTGATGCACAACGCTTGGAATCTGTAGTGGGCCCTTCAAGTAAACGGTTCATGCTTCATTACAGTTTTCCTCCATTTTCAATCAATGAAGTGGGGAAACGAGCTGGCCTTAATAGGCGAGAAGTTGGGCATGGTATGATAGTAATATCTACAGTCTGATTGTGCCTTGTTTGAATTGTCTTCTGACCCTTTGAACTCTAGAGAATGACATGTGACTATAGCGTTTTTGCTAGCCTAGGGCCAGTGGTTTACTATGGAAACAGGCAAGTGCACACTAGAAGCACATAACAAGATTGTAAAGCAGAGAAAAATTAGAAGACATTAAACCAGAGAGCATCCAATTAAGAAACCTGCAAGCAAGACAGTGTTAGAGAAAGTACAAGAATAATGAAGTGCATATCAGTCTGCACAATCCGAGATTTGAAGTCTAAATTAGAAAAAGGCATAGAAAAAAAAAATTAGAATTCACTTTAATTGAGTGTTATATGAAGGGATGAGCCAATATATGAAGAAAAATAAATCACTAGATGGCAAGCTCTTAATATGTTTTTATTTACTTAAATTTTTGTTTTTGCAAACCACATTATGTGTTGGGAGGGGGTTCTGGTCATTTGCCTTTTTACTAATCTGATAACTTCATATTATATTAATAATTTTGAAGCCCATTTATTAATATCTACATTTGAAAATAAAAACCTAGAAACAGTATTTTTACTATTACAACAAAGCAAAGGATAAATAATGTCTATGTTTTCAATTGGTACTTCCACTTGTAATGACACATAATTAAAGAAAAAGGAGAGAGGGAGAAGATTTATTGCATTGTGAATATATGAAGGCTAACGAAAGAGTAGGTTGGTGGAGTCAATTGATTGTTGGGTTGGATCTATTATAAATTGGGCAAACAACATAGATATGTGAACTTTTCTTTGTGTATATGTGGTAAACCAAGGTCAACTTTGAGTCCTTGGTATTTGATTTATAAAGAAATAGCTTATGTGTATATCAACATAATTTAAAGCTATCTGAAAATTCATAGGGTGATTGTGGATGACATTGTTTTAATGGACCATATGAGTCATTTTGTTTATGAAATTCTAAAAATTTCAAGAACCTTTGGATGATATAGAATTTGTCCATAAAAATAAAGTAACTAATAATCAAATCACACAACTTAAAGAAACTCCTTGGATCTTGAATCCCTCAAATCATTCTTAAATGGGAACACAATAAATAACTAGCTCATTCTTGAATAAAGAGTTACGTTTGTGTATTACACCTAAAACATGATTAAATGATTAATGCCATAAAGGAGAATTAACTCTTCATAAACTCTAATATAAAAATTTCAGTTGTTTCCTTATATAATATTATTCCTAACTCCTAAAAGTTATAAAGTTCTATCCAATAATAATGAACTAGTAATGCTTGCTTGTGTGAATGCCTTAATCCCATAAGAGGAGTCGGCTACATGATCCAACACGAGGACTTCCTAAAAGGTCACCCATCCTAGTACTACTCTCAATTATTGTGGCTCATGTCACGTGATGTGACATAATTTTACACTGGTTGTCACTAGCCTACCATAACCCTCCTCCTTTATCTTGGACTGGCTGTGGGTTTGGCGGAGTTAATAATCAACTAATAATAGAAAGTAAAATATAAATTGCTTTATTACTTTAAGTTAAATTCCAGACCTTCTCATATTTGCATCATTTAGAGTCTAGAGTATCAAGTATAGTAGATCTAGATAGTGATCCCTCTATTACTTTAAGTTAGATTTGTTTAGAATCTATAAGATTTTAATGCAATTAGAATCTAATACTCCCTTAATTGGGGAACACATATTCATATTGTTCGTCGTGATATGTTTCAAAATATCAACAATTTTTTTTAAGGGAATTTAATACACTTTTGAAGATATTTATGCTTAAATGTGTTTAGTGAAAACTATGTAATAAGTGAGACATGTTAAACATAATGAAATATAGGGAGTATGTGGAATATAATTATGATGGAGGTGCAGGATGAGCATCTAAAAGTGATGAATATTGACTTCTTGAATTAATATTAAAGAAGTAAGACTCATCAAAGAGTTTCAAGAAAAACTCAAAAACCTTGTTCCTAGTTTGAAAATATCAAAGTGACGAACAATAGAGAAATATATAAATCGGGTTGTTTTCCTTTCAATCCCAAAGGGATGGCTTCAATTGATCTAACCTATGGTGAATTCAGGGTGATGGTTATCAATATGGTGAAATGCTTCCATATCAACCCTAGAATGACTTTTACTAAGCTCCTTATACAAGTGCAAAGCTACGCAATGACAAATTACATGCAATGTGTACAAGTCTAAGCATATCCATACACCATGTGACACTCTTTCAACCCTCCCATTTTGTTTATCATTCCATGTAATCATACAACAACCAAAAAAAAAAAAAAAAAAAAAAAAGTAGATACATGATTGTACAATAGTTAAACTCTTAATCTCAAGGTTAAACATTATAACTTAAACATTAAGCTATATCTTTTTATATGTCAATTATTGCAAACAAAATACATATAACTTATAAGACAACATAATAAACAAATATTATATTAAAGTGGAATTGAATCATGGATTCTATGCATACTTATTATTATACTAGTTTTCATTATTAAAGGTTTATTTTTAGTGAATTACATAAATTATTATATCAGGTAAAAAACTTAGAAGAAATATATCCTGTTTGTACAAGTATTAGGTTAAAATGTTGATTATTTTATTTTTTGATTTATATTTTTTAATTCCTTCCACTTTTAAGTTTATAATAATAATATCTAGCCTTTTCCAAAATACAACGTTATTCCTTTCATCGTGGATTGGAGTGGGTTGGGGTGAGGGGTTTATAGTGGGTATGTATGTGAAATCAGTATTGAGGCAAATGCTTTACTAGAATGATCTTATGTCTTACATTCAAGGACAATAGGGAAAGTGGAACATCGTGCTTCATGTAAATAACCTCAGGAATGCTTAAACTACTTCATTGAAAGAATAATTTTATTATTATAGTGGCTTTTTTGGACCTCGTACTCTATAAGAGAAAAACGGAATAACGTGTGGAAATTTTTTCTTTTATTATTGTTTGTTATTTTAAAATATTAGTTCAATGCTAGGGTATTAAAGAGTTAAAGGTAAGCCTTATTCTAAAGGCTTTGCTACCTTCACCTAAAGTAGGTGATCTGATATGAATTTATTAATGTTTTGTTTGATCCTGTAATTAGTGTGTGGTGCGAGCGTTGCCCCGAATTCTTAATTTGAGTTGGGGGTTTTATTTTTTTGCATTTGAAAGATGGAGTTGAGATTGTTTCCAGGTCATTGAACAACCGTAAATTATTAAAGGTCTTTTTTAGAGTGTACCGTATAAAACATTCACTTTAAAAGTAATTGTTGAATCTTTTGAAGACATTGACTTTGTAACATAAGTTAGATGACAATTCTATCTTTTTTCTAGAACAAAATACATGTCATATTAAGGAAAAGGTGACACATGGCAATCACATGTTATCCCTTTGTGTTTTAATAATAATATAGATTCTCATCTGATTTGCTGTATGACTGAACTTTTACCATATATATACACAAATACATGTGGAAAACTAATATCAAATAAGGTTTTAGATTTTTCTTATTGTGTATTTTATTTAGATAATTAATATTTATAAGTTTTACTAATACACAATTACAGATATTTGATCACATGACAAGATCCTAATGTAAGGTGAAGAGACCAACTCCTAAGTCATTACTAATTGATGTCATGTGCTAGTTTTCTATGTAAACATTACAATGTGTAGTGATGTAGGTTGTTTTTGTTGTCCTATGCATTTTCATAAACATAAGAGATTTATGGTGGGTATCTAAGATGTGAAAGGTCAAACTTGGACATTTAAAAACCTTTAGATTGTGGCATCCAAATGTTTTAGTGAGATGTGAGGAGAGTAGAGAAATACTCTATAGCATAGGCAACTAGGCATAGCCATTTCACCCCCATATATGTATAACTTTGTCTTCTATTAACCAATTGCATAATCCAGAACATTAGATTTGCAAGCTGTGTGGTATCTGGATCGTATATAGCTTCCATGTGCCGTGCATAAATGCTGATTGGAGGCTTAGTTTATTTAATGAAAGGCAAAGTACGGTTGTTTTGTTCTGCAGACATATTTGATTCTGTAATTATTTCAGGAAGCTGTATTGAATGAGGTTAATATGGGTTCAAAATCTTGGCTTTTGCCTTTAATGTTTTATTTTATGTTTATGTCGTAAAATTGATGACATTGTGGGAGACATTGTTGTTTATGAGTAACTTATGATTTCCTTAATCTTCTGTTTATGTGTTAAAAATTTATTGAATCTATGGTACATTTATTTATTCTAAATGCTATGCTTTAAGGCCAATTCTTCCAATATCTCACACAATTGATGACTTTAAAATATAATTTGTTGTGATGTAGGAACACTTGCTGAGAAAGCTCTTCTTGCTGTATTGCCGCCAGAACATGATTTTCCTTATACAGTGCGTGTAAATTCAGAAGTCATGGCTTCTGATGGCTCCACCTCAATGGCAAGTGTTTGTGGAGGTATTTCTCATACATTATTTGCATCGGTTCCATTCTGTCTAACTTTTCATAATAATATTCCATCCGTTCCAGAATAATTGGCAGTCAAAATAAGACACTTGCCAATGCACCAGCTTGACCCTAAATATAAATTATTAAAGATTAATAAAAATTACAAAAATGTTGAGAAAATGAAACCTTATGTCATTATCTAATTTAACATGTACATGATAATTTTTTTATTTATTTTATTATTATAATACATTAATGAAAAACCATAGTCAAAGTTAATGTATGAATAGTGAAAAAAAGTCAAGTGTGTCAATATTATTATGGAATGGAGGGAGTGCCTATTTGGTCTCTAACTTTGTCTTTTATCTTGTATATCTAAGATAAATGCTTTATACTTCATCATTTGTTCTCTTTTTATTCTCGTACATGTTTGAAAGGATTTTTTTTATTTTTTTTTTATTTTTTTTTATGTCTCCACCCCATGGAAGGAGCTATAAGGTGGCTGGTGGATGTCTGGCACCCCCGAGCCCAACTAGTTGTCTTTTTTATATTTGATTTTCGGCTCCCATACCTCTAAGTCAATATTTTAGAGTGGTAAACACGCTCCAGCCTTGTACTTGTTTGCAATGAGTCCCAACCTCCTATGTTCAAACCTAAAGTCTTTGGTTGTTTAATATTTTTCCCTTTGTTCATACTTCATACCTTTTCAGTAATCAACAAGGTTTGATCACCAGTCTAAAATCAGACCAAAGACTATTGAAGGAATTTTTTTTCTCTATTTATAAAATATTTATATAGTAATATGGAAATTTTGTTATTAAAGAAAGCCACTCCCTCCGTCCCATAATTAAGTGCTTGTTTATCACACAGTACGAAAATTAAGGAAACGTGAGATTCCTTTATTTGTAATTAACGGTAAGTACATCTGCTAGTACTTTTTGCATTTTATGAGAGAGAAAGTGATGGCTTAAAATTTGAATGAATGGGAAATAGGTGAAATGGTACAAATATCCACTAGCATGTCAACATCCCTTTTTTAATTATGGCATTTTCTAGTACAAAAAGGTAGGACAAGTTTTAACAAGGGTAAAGTTGCCCAAACTTATATGATAGATATGGTAAGATTTCAAATGATTACGATTTTTTGGGACACCTAAAATGGAATATGAGCACTTTATTATGGGACAGATGAAATAATTATTTAATGCATTTTTGATAGCCTTATGTTAAATAACTTGTAATATTAAGTTCTTCCAAGGATATTGAAGAAAGTTAGTCAATTTAGAGGGTTATATACATAATTTCAAATAAAATACAATTGTGGTCTACCGCACTAGAGAACGAATTGGTTTATAAACGCCCCTAGTGATAACTTTCATTTGAATTACTTATTAATTGTGCTTTTTATATTTATCTTTTTTTTTTTTTTTTTTTTCATGTTGGTTTATAAACACCCCTAGTGATAACTTTCACTAATTATTCTCATATTTCACTCTATTAAAATTACATAACTTACCTTTACAAAAATTAAAAATTTGTCTTTTTTTTTGCGCCAAGCAAATTTAGGATAAACTATCTTTTAAAGAGAGAATTTATATTTTACACAAGTATAAATTTATTACTATAATCATCTAATTTGATATTATGTTGGTCAGTTTGGTAGGCAATGTTAAAAGTTGAATTAAAATACAAAAAAGTTTATAGTTATAAACAATGATGTTCTGTTGCAGTGGCGGATCCATTATGGGTTCAGTTGAACCCATACTGTATCCAAAAAAAAACTGATCGGTTTTGTATTCATACCAGTTTTGATAATGGGTTATATGAAAACAAAGCACTATGTTTCAGGCTACCTATTTCCCAAACAAACCATGTGGTCACGGGATTGAATATGCTGCCCCCCTCCTTTTTTTAACTGTTTTTTTTTTCCCTTTTTTGACTTACACTAGCCCAAAAGGACTCCTAATACGATTTCCCAAACAAACCAAAGCAGCAAACGTAGGCATTGACTACCTCACTTTTATTTGAAGTGATTTTTGTCGTTTATAATCAATTCAAGCAATTTTATTATTTCAGATTTCAGGGTTGAATTAGAATTATAATTTACAATGTTACGTGTTGTCAAGAGATTACGAGTTAGGGTTTAATGTAAAATTAGTGTTAATTAGTTTTGAATACGTGAAGAGTATTCTCCTCAATGACTTGTGTAAAGAAGTAAAGAACCAATTGTTAAGGATGATGATATAATAAATAGCTTTCTTTCTTTTCACATTTATTACTTTTCAATAAACTATTAACTCCATTATCTTTCTTTTACAATTTTTTAATATTCCAACTACCCCACTTACCTCTTATTTTATTTAAGTCAATTAAGTTGCCTAAAATTATGTGCCGCTCAAAGTGTAACACTTATTAAAACATGGAGGGACACTTATTAGGAAATTTTTTTTGATCCACCACTGTTCTGTTGTAACACTAAACTAATTATTTATGTGCAAGACGTTAATTAGTTTACAATTTTTCTATAGAAATATGCACCTCTTTCCCTCAAAATCTTGGATTTGCCAATGATGCCATCCACCCCCCCCCCCCACCCCCAACCCCTCTATTTCTGAATGATATAAGGATAACTTTTCTATGTAAGTGCTCTATGAATTTTCATGGGTTATTATTGATGCATTTGTAGTTCTACTTAGATTCCGTTTTCCTCCCTTCGCTTACTCCGTTTTTCTGGTAGGTAGTATGGCTCTGATGGATGCTGGAATTCCTGTGAGAGAACATGTAGCAGGTGTATCTGTAGGCCTTGTTAGTGAGGTTGACCCAATTACTGGCAAGATGACGGATTATCGCATTCTGACTGACATTTTGGTGAGGCACTTACTGATCATCATTCTTCTAATAATGCCTGATATTTGTGGGACTTATAAAGTTAATTGAGCTAAAGATTGTGGAAGAAGCCCTAATTCATAATTTCTATACTTGTAAATATGATCCTATAAATAAAGCTCGGGGGGGGGGGGGGTGGGTGGGTTATCATTACGCATATCATCTTTGGAAGGTCCTAGACAAACACGCAGAGCGTTATTAATAACCTAATCCAAATTAAGCCAAACACTCTTATCTTTAATTTTGATTTTCTCATTTCATTCTTCCCAACTTATATTGGAAACCTACATATGTGATTTAGGTGGAAGGAGAATGTTTTCCTCGAGATTCCAAATTCTGAAGATATGCAGTAACTTAGAGTGCTAGAAAACTCTAGTCATTCTAGCAATATGAAACAACTCCTAATTTGTCGCCAACATAATATGTTGCCCACACAAAGGCTAATGAACATTTTTTTATAGCTTAGATTTCCAAATGTAGGCAACTAAAAGACTAAATGATGCACATAAGGATTTTTGTAAGTGAGCATAGATATACTCCCTTTGGCCCTTAACATTCACCCTAATTTCCTTTTTAGTCTATCCCTTTTAAATTGCCCCATAATATTTTTGGTTAGGGGACCACACTTTTATCCTCACAACCACTATCCTTGGTTCCAAAACTTTTCTCTTCCATAAATTTCTTCCAACCAAGGTTAAGGGACCACACTTTTATCCTCACAACCACTATCTTTGGTCCCAAAACTTTTCTCTTCCAACCAAAAATAAAAAAGAAAGTGACCTTAATTCTATGGAGCAAAAGGGGAAGAAGGGAGTATAGTCAAAATGGTAGAAGAGAGTCCCTTGATTATATCCTTTTCCTTATGAATTTTAAGGAAGCACCCAACTTGAACTGAAAAACAAATTATTTTCACTTTAAATTTCTCTCACGTGTATTTCTTCTGCAGTGGAATTCTAAGAAACAATATCAACCTTTGGATTTTTGTCGATGACTACACAGAATAATCACTTTTGGTTCATGTAGCCGACCCCACTTATGAGCTTTAGGCTTTGATTGATTGATTGAATATCAACCTTTGTGGGAAATCGCTATGGGAATGAATTAGAAAATTGATGCTCTTGTGTCTCGGTCTCATTCTAAGCTCTCATTTTAGCCACTAATTTTAGTTATGCCTTCACTCTACTATTGATTGAATCATTACTATAATAAACATGGGCTGCTGTTATACGTGAACTATAGTAGGAAATTTGGTGCACACCAGTGCATCACTCTACTTTTAACCATTAAATGTTGTTCATGAACATTTTAAGATGTGGTCATGTCACTATGAGCTCTAGTATTTTGAGCCTTCAATAGAATTTTGATTGAGTACTCATATGCAAATAATGGAGCATCATGTAAGATTTTAATTTAAAGTGTTATGGGAAAGAAGTAAAAATTGATGCTCATGTGCCTTGGTCTCATTCTAAGCAATTTTAGCCACTAATCTTAATTTTGCCTTCACTTTACTATTGATTGTATCATTACTGTAATAAACTTGGGCTGCTGTTATAGGTGAACTATAGTAGGAAATTTTGTGCTCACAAATGCATCACTCTACTTTTTGTCATTCAATGTTGCTCATGAACTTTTTAAAGATGTGGTCATGTCACAATGAGCTCTAGTCTTTTGAGCCTATAATTGTGGTTTGATTGAGTCCTTACATGCAGAATTGGACGCTTCTTATAACGAAGATAAGTGTAGAAACTTCTGTTGTTTCATTTGATTTCATGAATAAATGTTTAGATTTGAATTAGCATCAGCGAGATAGATAGTTCTTTTTTATCATCTATTGTCTGCTATTTAACTACTATTACTGTGGGAGCTGCCAGATATATGTTTTATAGCTCATTAGCTACTTCGACGCAACTTTTTTTCTAAGGCTCCCTTTGCCCATCCGAGCTAAATCACATACTCTTCAGTTTTTTATTTTTGTGATTGGCCAGACTATCAGAGCGTAATGCTTTCATTGATCAAATTTTTCAGGGGCTGGAAGATCATCTCGGAGATATGGACTTCAAGATATCCGGGACACGTAATGGAATAACAGCAATTCAGTTAGACATAAAACCAGCTGGAATTCCGTTGGATATAATTTGTGAAAGCTTGGATCCTGCTTTTAGAGGCCGTCTCCAGATTCTTGATCATATGGAGCGTGCAATTAATGCACCTCGTACTAAAGATGATAGAAACTCCCCTCGATTAGGTAATTATTGATGACATCCGCACTTCTCTGTCACCGTTGTGATGCACCTTTACTAATTCTAGTTACTTTCCTTGCTGCAGCTACCTTGAAGTACCACAATGACTCTATTCGCCGATTGGTTGGACCTTTAGGTGCCCTAAAAAAAAGGATTGAAGAAGAAACAGGTTCATTTAAAATCTAATACGGTTTATTTTGTTCGACCTAGTTTTCCAAAATTTAATTGTGGATCCGCAAATTTCAGTATGAGCATTATTGATCCAAATAAGTAAGAACAGGATTTGTGTAAAGAATAAAAAAAAAAAAAAAAAAAGTTCTGTAGGTTATCTAAATTAAAACTTCAAATATAAGGTTATTGAGATTGGAAAATTAATAACACATTCTACTGCCTGTAATTCTCTTTAACAAGTGCTAATAGTTGCTACATCAATTTTCTTGTCAGGTGCACGTATTTCCGTTGGTGATGGAACACTTACTATAATTGCTAAAAATCAATCTATAATGGAAAAAGCACAGGAGAAGGTGCCCCATCTAGGCTCCTCTGTTTATAATTATAATTATTTTTAAACCCTAATTGTTCAGTCCGTTGAGTTGCTTGTAGTTCCATTCAACACCAATACAAATATTCTTATGATTCCTTGAGTTATAGGAATACTAATTCTCTATTTTCAGATTGAATTTATCATAGGTCGTGATATTGAAGTTGGAAAGGTCTATAAAGGTATTGTAACATCAATCAAAGAGTATGGTGCTTTTGTGGAGTTTAATGGAGGTCAGCAAGGTCTTCTGCATAAGTCTGAGCTGTCTCATGAACCTGTAAGTGAGATTCTTGTGATATCCTGATAACCTGATTTCAAACTTACAACTTATATCCCATTTAATCCCACAACCCAAAAAAAGAAGTAAAAAGGATGGAAAAAAAGGCTATGAGAGCATGAACTTATTCCTCTTGAACTTCAAAGGAATATTGAAATGGTTGTCACTTTTTCAACGTTAAAAATTTATTTCTTGTTCCATAGAAGTTTTTTTGATTTTCTATTGTAGTCATGACTTGTATCTTGGTAATTTATTTGAATTTTTTTTTTCTCAAATTGCTTTAGGTAATAAAGCAAATAGCTTATAATGGTTTATTAGGGAAAAAATTATATGTGTGTGTCTGTATGTGTGTTGTACTTGTCAGAGTATGTTTTGGTGGTTCTTGAGTGTTTTTCTTTCCCCTCTTTTTTAGAGACAAATTAACAAAAGACAAAGAATCCAAAACAAATAGCATAGGGACTGCAACTGCCGATTGGTTATTGCTAGTTTCCAAAAACGCTATGCCTTTTCCACCTACAAAGTTTGTATTAAAGGCTAAGATCTCTCTTAAGGTGGAAGTTTTTTTTTAACACACTAACTTTGTGTAGGATCAATACTAATGATATGCTCCAAAAAGTAGGTCACAACTTGCTTTGCTAAGTTAACAGTGAGTCTTGCTCACATGTTTTCCTTCAAAGTATTTTTGTTTAGAGGGATAAGAGAAGAGAGATAGGGATAAGAAGGAAAGGATCCGAGAATTCTTTTGTTTGTTTAGTGAAATAAGGATAAGGATAAGAAAGCTACTTATTCCTCTAAATAGTATTAAAAGGGGGGGGGGGGGTTTATAAGGGATGGGTATAAAAATGAGTTAGTTAAAGACTTTTTACCCGTAATAAATAGGGAAAGAGGAGGAGAGAGGAGAAGGGTAAGTGTAGTTATGAAGTTCTGTAACTTATCCCAATCTAATTCCTGCCAATAAAGGGAAATCATCATTTTTATCCTACCATATCCTCCTTATCCCTGTCCCTATCATTGTAGGTGGTTTTATTTCTTCAGAGAACATATGATGCATAAAGTGGCCTTGGCTTTGGGCCCAAATTTAGCAGATTGGCTAATGATTTAGCTTGTGGGGTTTGGTAAGGAAAGAAATTATGTTGCTTTGGAGGAAAATGCTGTTGAGCATTTGATTGGAAAGAAATGGCATTATCTTAATGGTCTTGTGGTAATTCAAGGAATTATATATTTATTTTAGACCATCTACCATTCATAAAATTAACATAGTACTCAAACTCTTTTTTGCCCCATTTATGATTAACATTTCAAAACAACCCTTTCCTCTTCTTTTTTTTCTTCTCCTCTTTTTTCCTTTATTTATTTATTTATTAGTTTTGTTGTGTGTTTTCTCCTAAATCAACCTTCTTGTATAACTGATCGGTTATCCTACCGTGGCTACCCCACTCCGCTTTCCAACAAAAACCATTGCAGTAAAGAAATTACTCACAGCACTATTGGGATTACTAAAATTTGATATTGACAGGATTTGATTGAAACTTTAGCAGGATTTTAGTTTAATGTTTTTATTTAGCGGCGCGGTTAAATCATTGTTCAAATTCTTATTGAGTTATAAGAATCAAAAGTGTTATAAGAAGCAGCATTATTCTTGTTTCAAGTTGGGCCACTAAACTTTCTTTGCTAGCCCAACCGAAGCTTATCTTTCACCTTGCATGCCAAATCCTGGTTGGGTCTTAGCAGCCTTACCTCCACGTAGGGATGGCAATGGGTCAGATCTGGACCGGATCCGATTGGATCCAGATCCGTTTTTGCACCCTGGTACCATATCTGATCTGGATCCGTCGGGTATGGAGAAGGAGGATCCATATCCATATCCATATCCGTTGGATCTTACAGGTCCAAAACGGATCCTGCACATTGTAACTATTTTTTAATAAAAAAAAGTTTTCAACTAAAATAATGTATACGTTTAACTTTCAAACATCCCTCAGATGCTTTATCAAGTTCAATATTTGAATTAAAATTGTACAACTACTCCAATTAAGTGAAGAAGTGAACCGTGAGCTGCTGAGCACCAAACAAATGCATCCACTCATAAATTAGTAAGCATTAAGATGATGCATTGTGACATTTTGATAAAATAAAGTAAACTTGGATTATATACTAACAAGCTAGTAAACACTAATATGACAGAAATAAATTAAATAAAACCAAACATAATGCAACTGCAATAAGTATACTAAAGGTCAGAAAATCGTGCACTGTGATTTTGCGACTTGCGGTCGATCGTCGGAGCTCGGAGAGGATGGGCTAGACTCACAGTCGCCGGAGAGGCTGGAGGGTGGAGCCGCAAGAGTTGTGGTCGGCAGTAGAGAGAGAGAGGGAGAGAGGAGAGAGAGAGTGTGATTTTAGGGTTTCTGTTTGGGGGTTTGGTAGAATAGTGTAATTTTGTAATATGTGGGCTGGGCTTTAGTTTGGAAATATTTTTTTTTTAAAAAAAAAAAACGGGTAAACGGATCTGGATACAGGTATTTAGGCTAGATCCGTATCCAGATCTGTTTTTTTAGTACGGGATCCTTTTCTGACCCGGATCCGTTGGGTCCAAAATTTAAGGATCCATATCCGTGAAAAACAGATATGGATCCACGGATCCGGGTCAGATACGGATCCATTGCCATCCCTCCCTCCACCTTAATGTCATTGCACAATCCATAAACAAATAGTCATATGGAAATGGCTTCTTAAATGCTTTCCAATGATCCTTACAGCTTGATTAACCGCCGCTGGTAATTTGCCACTGCTCTGAGTTGTGTAAGCTACCACTGCTCATGCAAGGTCAGAACTTACGCAGAAGCATCCTCATTAGCTCTTCCCATTGTGTTATTGGGTGGCAATGATGCTCCCACTGGAAGTCGGTGGAAATTGAAATACTAGTCTGCTCTAAGAATCTGTCCATTGGAATTATCTCCATGGAGTTGCTAAAGTCTCCAATCAAAAATCCATTCCGAGCATTACTCTAGTGACATAACGGTGCTCCTCATTGGGCTCTATGAATGCGGTTACTTTTTCCTTTCTGTCATCATCACTATTGGGATGGAATTCGTCTCCTCTTAGAATTTTGATTTTTGATCCACCATCTCTTGCTGCTAAGTCAACCAAAATCCATTAGTGGGTTACTGTAAATTTATCCTATGAAGCCATGCTTGAAAATTTTTGTTCTTATCCGCATAGTAGCCATCTAATTGGATTGATATCAAAGGAAACTACTTCCCTAGAAATTAGCTTCTGATAATCTGAAGCAAACTTATGAAGGTAAGAGTCTCACATTTTCCAGTATAAAATATGCTGCTCTAGAATACTGGTCTCATGCTTCTGCCAACACTAACCTACTGACCTTTCTGTATATTCGTCGGCAATTTTTGTGAGCAAATTCACTTAATGACGTAATCCAACTTTTGTCTTTGTTAGAATCACCTTCCTTAATAACGATGAACCTTCTTTCAAATATAAGAAACCTTTTCCTCTTCCTGACATGTTCCAGCTCATTTTTTTTCCTCAGAATTTTGCCCTTAATTAGTATTTCTGTGGCCTTATGCATGTTATGGACGGCATCCAAAAAAGAATCTAAGGTCCAAGTAGTTTACGCTCTTTTTACAGAGCTTTAATATTCTCATGGTCAAATTTTTGAACAGAACATTAACATCTTGCTTTGCAATATTTCTGAAGTTTACATAATAGTGGCACACAAATTGAAAGAAATAGCAAACTAAGTCATAAAATTGCCTTTTGTCTATTTTATTTTTTATGTGTTTCATTTGTTCCTATCTATTAAAGTTAAACACCCAATGACAAGTCAAGAGATATCAATTCAGCAAATCTTCCATCAGCAGCATGTGAATAATTAGTAATCCCCTGCTTTAGCACATAATTTCTTTCAACCATTGGACAAGTACAAGCATTTTACAGGACCCTCTAGGCTTCTAAATTGAAATTTGCTTAATTTCAGCAACATGAAGGTGGATTCTATGTAGTAATCATAGGAGAATTGGGAAATAAGAACATCAAAACTAAATGCATCCATCTCAAATCTAAAGCAATAGATTTATACCATGCCTTTGCACTATAAGTCTTATATATCTGAGATCATTGACAACCCTTGATACTGTGCTGATCAGTTTGGCGGTGGTTTTATTCTCTTCTAGAAGAATGATTTTGTGTTTATGCAAAATACTTGAGCATTTATCAGGTCTCGTTTGTTTTGAGCTGTCAAATCAAGTGACCTTGACCAAATTTTGTTTTTAGTTTAGTTTTTGGAGTCTACAGTTCAAGCAGGTCAACTGAATCAGCTAAATGTTTTTAACTTCCCGTGTCTGTTTTTCCCATCAGGTCTCTCGAGTTTCAGATGTAGTGTCTATTGGTCAGCAGCTTTCTTTGATGTGTATAGAGCAGGATGTTCGTGGTAATATTAAACTATCCCTTAAAGCGAATAAGAGCTCTTCTGCTGATAAAGGATTTACTGGAACAAAAAAAGGTGCATCTCAAGTATGGGCATCAATTGGAGATAAAACTTATGGTCAAGAGAAGAATAGTGGTAAAAAGGACCCAGTTGTAACTAAATATGCAGCTGCTGAAGTCGCAACCTCTGCTGTTTCAGATAGTTCCTTTTTTATTCGAAGTGCTGCAGAGTGTGATGAAGAGGAAGAAAAGTTAGCTGCTTTAAGTCAAAATAGGACTCTCAGCACTTTTGCTTCCTCTGATCAACTAACTCTAGATCAAAGTGTTGATGACTCTGGTGGAGAAAAATCTGCTAGTCTGAATCAAGTGTCTAAAGATAAGAAGTCGGAAGTGGGATCTGGTATTTGTGCGAAAGACCTGAAACTTGGCACAGTAGTCACAGCTAAAGTATATCAAATTCGTACACGGGGGTTAGTCCTCGATTTGGGAGGCGGACTTAAAGGAATGTATCGTTACGAGGTATGTTTCCTTTTTACATTTCATCCTTTCCTGAATTACTCTGTTATAGGAGTTTTGTATTCTCAGGCCTCCATGTCAACTTGAAAAATCTTATGTGTTATGAGATCTTTTACGAAGTATAACTTATCTCTAATATGATTTAAATTATTGATCTATCATCCAAGAATTTTAAGCAAGCTATTCATTAAGAAACTGTATGCATGGATGCTCAAAGTTGCTTGACCTATATTAGTGGCTTTTGCGGACTCTGTACACCTGTTGTGATCTGTGTGCTACATTTTGTTGTCATTCTTGTTAACTTTTTAGAATCTGTAGTCACCATTACATTTAATATGCTCCCTTCCCCTCCCTCTCTCGAATTCCCCTTTAAGGTAGGAGATCAATGAGGACACTGCCCTTCTTCAGATTCTAAATATCTTTGCTGTATTCTGTCACTGACTGGAATATTGAGGAAGCTGTTAAAATGGTTTCCATCTCATGTTAATGTGTAATTATGTTTCTTATTGCCGTTCCTGCCATTTCAGTCTAGAAGGTAATGGTCCCTCTACACCAAGATAAATGCTTCACTTAGATGGCCATTATTTAAAATAAAAGAAATGGCTACAGTGTTTTTGCAGCAGAGGCTTGTCACAGTAACTTAGATACTACTGAGTTTTTTGTTTTCTTTCACGGTCTCATCTCTTGGAACATATGAAATAAATTTCTTTCAGGTGTATGGAAAGAATCTTGCCTCATATTAGACTTGGGGTCACACTAGATGTGTAGAAGGAAGGAAAGTACTTTGGGTTGCATACTGCTTTCTGTAATTTGTTTGATTAATTGAAGCAAAATTCTAGAACATTTCTAATATCACCCCAATCTTAAATAATCTCTATTCCAACTTATATATGAACTCTTGATTCTTCATTTTGCACAACAAAATGTAAAATTTGCATAAATTATTTGAGGTCAACTGGTGTTAACCCTTAGAAACATACTCACTTCCTCACTGGCCATCATTAATGACCCAGTTTGAGTAACTTAAATGAGGTACTAATTCGGTATCATAATGCTGTCTTGTAAATAGTACCATTAGATGTAATAATGGTATTATAATACCTTTCGATGGTACAGTTTGATAAGGGAGAAATCCTTATCGAGCTCTGATCGTACAGAGCTTGAGTAATTTCCAGAAATGAAGAACAGAAAAGAAGAAGAAGAAATTGTAACAGAATAGAGAGAGAAAGAGAGGGAAGAGAGAAGAGAGAGAAAGAGGAAATTCAGTGTATTTTTCTTAATGAGAATATTACACTGACTAAGCTGTATTTAGCTCTCCTAACAACCCAAAAGACATAAAAGAATTATGGCATCTTACAGGTAAGCACAAATGACAAAAGCAAAAATAACAACTTGTTCAATAATAGATTTTCCCGCCAAAATCAACTAAATTATACTTCCTTCTTATTTCACCTGTATCACAGTTATACATGATATTTTTATAGTTGACAAAGTTGTAAATGGGTACATCTTATGCTAGTGTATGTGTAATATGCAACCAAGTAAATCTGTAATACCATTAAAAGGTGTAATGATATAATGCAACCTTTTTAGGGTAAATATAAATTTGTAAGTAATCTATCATATTCTATACACCAATGTGAAATCTAGGGGTGAGCAAAATATCAGGGTACCCTGAATTTGAACCGGAACCTATTAGGAACCGCACGTTCCGGAAGTGGAACCTGTATGAGAGGTTTCGGTTTCGGTTAATAAAATGGAGAACCTGTTGCAACAGGTTCTGGTTCATGTTCTTGATATTTTGGAAACGGAACCAGTAAGATACCCTGTAACTGATAAAAGTATCATTTAAGCCCAAATCATACATCAATTCAAGCCTAATTTTTTATAAATAAAAATAAACATAATAGTTATAAATATATTTAATAAATTTCTAAACAACTTTTTTGATTTGTTGTATTTACAAGATGTAAGATTTGTAAATTTATGACCCTCCAAATTTTTTTTGAAATAATTTTGCAAAAAAAGTACAAAATATATTAAAAGACAGGGTACCTTGAATTGGAACCGGAACCTGCAAGTTTCGGTTTCGGTTCCCATTTTTCAGGAACCTACAGTTTTCGGTTCCGGTTCTCATTTTGAGGAACCTGTTGCAACAAGTTTCGGTTCCGGTTCCAGTTCCAGGAAATTTAATAGGTACCTTGTTATGCTCACCCCTAGTGAAATCTGATAAATTATATTACACAAAAGATGCCATTGAATTTTAATGCTTCAAATAAAATGACTATTATACCCCGGTATGTAAGAGGTTCCGGTATGGGATTAAGGCTTTGATTGATACCTCGGTATGTCTTTACAAAAACATACCGAGTATGTACCCAGACTGCCTCAACATTAGTTCCAGTTGAAAGGAGCATGATCTTTTTGTTGCTGTGACATTAAATTTGTTCTGTGATCTTATTACCATTCTGATGTCCTTCCAGCTATCGCACTGTTTTGGAATTGAAAAAAAAAAAAAAAAAAAACTTTTCTTGCATCTACAAATGCTACCAAAATTGATCACCTTTTTTCCCCTTTGTTTAATGGGGTAAGAAAAGTGGTTAGTTGCTTTAATTGTTTATTACAGAGAAGCTGACTAGTGTGCAAATTGCCTTTCTCCAGAAGCCAAGTGCAATGCAATGGTCTTGTTGTAATATTTAATTGTTACTTTACTAGTGAAGTGAGTCAACTTACTTCCTGTTTTTATTTAGATGCATCATTTTTGTAATTGTGGACTATTAGGCATTTTTCGGAGTGGAGAGAGTTAGAGAGAAAAAATAAAGAGGGTCCATGTGGTAGGATAGAGATAGAGATAATTTATGAACTAAAAGGGAAAGTGATGCATCTAAATTGAAATTTTTATATTTAGAAAGTGATGAATCTAATGAATATAGAGGAAGTATATTCCTTTGAGATTGGAGTTCTGCATAAAACTTATTCTTCTAACAATTTCATATTTGTCTGCAGGCAAATGACAAGAGGGACTTTAAGGTAGGTGATGAATTGAGAGTGCAGTGCTGTAGTTTTACAGGCAAAGGGGTTCCAGTTATGTCACAGGTGAAAGATGAGTAGTACAACTTATTACCCTTTATGATATATATTTTGATGACAACAAGCTCCTCGGAACTTATACGTATAGATGGCAGCATCAGGGAAATTGATATGCTGATGTTCATGATACTCTTGCGAAGCTTGCATCGATGAATTAATTCTATGCCTCCTTCATAGAATTAATTGCTTCTTAATGGTGACATGAGGGAGGCTCTCATGCTGCCAATAGATGAATCTTCGGCAGGACACATTCGAAGGGATGTGATGGTCTCAATTCTGTAAAAGATTTAATTGTTAGATATATTTTATGTGATTTCTTGTTAATTTAGGTTTACTTAATTTTAATGTAACTGATTGAATGGCAAAATAATTACTAAGCTGAAAACTTTGACCATTCAATGTAAATTGTTTACGATAATTTAAGGGTTTTGCTTATCCTTTTGGCTACTTTATTTTGATGTAGTTTCAAATCTGAATGATGTATAAATTGGTTGAAATCCAAAGTCCTAATAGTAAATCTATCTTCAAGAGGATGTTCACAAGCTGGGTTCTTCTCCTAACGTTGATAAAGTTAAGTCTTTTTCTAATGAGCCCATAAACTCATTAGAACTCCTTGCCAGATTGTCCAACCTTTTTGCCAAAATTCTTGGGATAAATTGGATGATCTTGTCACATACCTTATTAGAGATTGTTTTACCAATAATAATGTTCCGAGCGGTTTCTCATAAAAAAAAAAAAAAAAAGTAATGTTCTGAGCAATGTAAATGACCTATCATATCATATCACTAATAAATAAAGTCAGTCTCGTAGCCAGGTCACGAGACAACGACACTTGACATTCTAGTTTTTCGACAAGTGTTGCGCCACGTAGGTGACAAATAGGTATTATTGTGACATATATGATGCTAAATAAGGGATTTTTAGATAGAATTTCTAATATAAAAATATTGTATAGAGTTTTATTATCACTATATTTCTAATATTTCATATATACAAAATTAATCATAACTTTTAATAAATATCCTATAACTCGATTTTATTTCCATTATAAAATTTGTTGTAATTTTTTTTTAAATAAGATCCAATAATAATATATTTAATATAGTTAAAAATAATAATAGAGAATCAGTTAAAATAAGTTTTAATCAATAAAAATGATTTTGGTTTGGTACAAATACTTTCAGTTTAGTAAAAATAATTTCAAGTCCATAATAACATAGGTATCTATTTACAAACAAAACTACGAAAAGTATACATACTATTCTATAAATAAGCTATAGGAAATTGTATGTCTTAATATCATGCATTATCAAAATGGATTACATGACTATATTAATGAACATTCAAGCCAAAAAGTTTATCTTATCAACAATCCGGGCATCGCTCGAGCATAAAACTAATATCTGTTTAATTCCAAAGTGTGAACACCCTTTGAATTTTATTTTATTTATTTATTAATTTTTTATTTTTTTTTTATATATTACTTACTAATAAGGTTAAAGCCTTACATGGATCCCTTTACAAATTTTTTTTTTAAACACTAAATTATTATAAAAGGTTTTAGTAAGTACAACATTGACAATTACACAACTAAAAGTTAGTAACAACAGGTGCATAAAAGTCCTTGCCCACCACCAAAAGACAACAAAAGTAGTACTTAACAAAAACAACTAGTAGTCCCAAGGGAATAACTATCAGCCCATAGGCGCTATTGATGAGTGAAGCAAATAGGATGGCAATCTATGTAAAAATATGTTGAAGTTGGGTGGGGACTAGGTGCCAGCTGGAGGAAAAAATAACGGGGCAAAGAAAGTGAAAACGGGGAAACCAAAATGTAAGCGGGAAACCAAAATGAAGTCTGACAAAGCAACTTTCCTCTTTCATTCCTCTTTCTTCCCAAAGCTCCTTCATTCCTCTTTCTTCCCAAAGAATAGTTTTACTGTTCAATGGCGAATTGAGCGAAATGAAATTGAAGGCATTGAAATCCTGTCCCAGGTGCACTAAAACCACTGAAATGCCGTAAATTTGACATTGGAAATTGAGGATGAGAACGAGGTTAGCTGACATTCTTGGTGTGGATGTAGCTGAAGCAGTTGGTGACGGTGGACAAGACGGACATGGGTGCGCTCGGGAGCTGTGATTTGATTGTGAAAATGTAAGTTTGGTACATGCATTACTGTAATTATTCAGTTTGAAGGTAGATTTGTAATTAATTTTGGAAAAGGGGAAGTGTGATGTAGTTGTTTATAAATGGTTAGCAGTTAATTTGTGAATCCGAACTACATTTTGACAATGCGAATTCGGTTAGCTGCTGATTTATTGGGAGTTGATTTAGCGGAAGCATTGCGTGAAGGTGGTGAAGAATGCCATGGTTGCGCAAGGGAGTTGCGCTTTGATAGTGAGAATGTAAGTGTTCGAAACCCCTTTGTAGGTCGTTCTGTTGTGTATGAGGTATTTGTTTGAGTTAACAGTTAGTAAGGCATGAGTTGAGGGAGTAAACAAAATTGAATTAGCTGAAAAGGTAGGGTTTTTTGGTGTCTCTCAATTATTGGTATTGTGCCAATTTATAGTTGTTGTTTATAGTGATTGTCTTAGTGCTTAAATAAGTAGGCATATTGTTTAAATGTAAGTCATTTTTTGAGAAATTGTTGTTGATATTGTTAGATTGTTGATTGTAACCTGATCAATTGGTGAGTGTGGTTAATCTGTGTTGTGTTTGTTGGATTTTGGAGTAGGTTGAAATTAATAGTGAGGGTTGTCTTTAAATTCTGAAATTGATACTTGGAAAATGGTTGTTCATTGGTATGGTGGTTTCTGTAGCCATGAAAATGATGTTATGTATAATGTAGATATTGTACTTTGTTACTTGTGGTGGTGTTGTGTATATGATTGTTTTATGGCCGTGTCATTGTTATAGGGGGTGATGGTGGTGAGGATGATGTATGTGGTAATAAGGAGGGATTTGAGAGTGAGCATGGGTATGGAGAAGGAGATGAGGAGGAGAATGAACAGGGATCAGAAGATGATGGAGAGGAATGGGGGTCAGATTATGAGGAAGTTGAAGTGGTGGAAGGAGTTGAAGATGAAGGAGTTGAAAATTGAGGGTTATAAATGAGTATTTGAATTGGGTAATTATAAAATGTAGACTCTTTTAATTAGACGAGGAAGATGTTAGGCTTAGGAACCTTTGTTATGGTTAGGACCCTTTGTTGTAAATTTGATATGAACTTTAATCCACATACACTAGGAGAAAAACCGAATTCCCCACCGGTTCAAACCCCCCATTTCGCACCGGTTTTGAACCGGGTTGGATTTGGGACGTGCTAAAACCCCATAGATTTTGCACTGGTTCAAAACCGGTGGGAAAAATGACTTTTTGCACCGGTTCTTGGGAAAACCGGTGGCAAAAACTGAACTTTGCGCACCGGTTTTTACTTAGAACCAGTGCCAAAAGTCTTGCGCGCCTTGAATATTAAATACTTTTAGCACCGATTCTAAGCAAAAACCGGTGCGAAAACCCCTTTTTTAAAATTTTTTTTTGGCTATAAATAATTATATTAATAATAATAAAAACCTGCACATCCTGCATTAATTCTACCATCAATATATATTATAATAACAATAATAATAATAATAATAATAATAATAATAATAATAATAATAATAATAATAATAATAATAATAATAATAATAATAATAATAATAATAAAATAATAATATAATAATTTCTAAATTGAAATAATAACAACAATACATAGATATTAATTAATACAATGAAGTGTCATATAGCTTTTACAACTCCTTATAAAAAAAAAGTGTCATATTTACAAACAATATTAATTATTAATGTAGTTAACAAGTTCAAATTAAATTATTTGTGATGAAAGACGCCAACATGTCTCGAACTTCATTCAGTTCCTTGCTCGTCAATGGACCTCCTTTCTGTACCTTGAAAAACTTGGATAAACAAAAATTATGTTGGAATTAATTACTTAGGTTATGTATGTAAAAATACATTTACAATTTAAGTTAGGCAAATATTTAATACGTAGGCCTATATGACTACTACTTCACCTATTTTCTACATTTCTTGTCAAATCAACTCATTATTACTCATAACATTTCAATATTACTTAGTTGTAGGCGGCTAAGGCTTGAAATCACATTAAAAAAGCAATTGAAGGGTTGTAGGACGCAATTTGATCCAAAATGGCACAAATAAGGCCTATATGACTACGACTTTGCCTATTTTCTACATTTCTTATCAAATCAACTCATTATTTCTCTTAACATGTCATTATTAAATAGTTATAGGCGGCTAAGGCTCGAAATCACATTAAAAGAGCAATTCAAGTGTTTAAGTACGCATTTTCATCAAAAATGGCCCAAATAAGGCCGATATGACTATTAGGATGCCTATTTTCTACATTTCTTATCAAATCAACTCATTCTTGCTCTTAACATGTTATTATTACCTACTTATAGGCGGCTAAGGGTTGAAAACACATTAAAAAGAGAAATTACAGTGTTTTAGGACGCAATTTCATCCAAAATGGCCCAAATAAGGCCTATATGACTACTAGGATGCCTATTTTCTACATTTCTTATCAAATCAGCTCATTCTTACTCTTAACATGTCATTATTACGTAGTTAGAGGCGGCTAAGGCTTGAAATCACATTAAAAGAGCAATTCAAGGGTTTTAAGACGCAATTTCATCCAAAATGGACAAAATAAGGCCTATATGGATACTAGGTTGCCTATTTTCTACATTTCTTATTAAATCAACTCATTCTTTCTCTTAACATGTCATTATTACCTAGTTAGAGAAGGCTAATGCTTGAAATCACATTAAAAGAGCAATTCAAGGGTTTTAGGACGCAATTTAATTCAAAATGAACCAAATAAGGCCTACGTGACTACTTGGATGCCTATTTTCTACATTTCTTATCAAATCAACTCATTCTTTCTCTTAACATGTCATTATTACCTAGTTAGAGAAGGCTAAGGCTTGAAATCACATTAAAAGAGCAATTCAAGGGTTTTAGGATGCAATTTCATTTAAAATGAACCAAATAAGGCCTATATGGATACTAGGTTGCCTATTTCCTACATTTCTTATCAAATCAACTCATTCTTGCTCTTGAAATGTCATTATTACCTACTTATAGGTGGCTAAGGCTTGAAATCACATTAGAAGAGCAATTCAAGTGTTTTAGGATGCAATTTCATCCAAAATGGCCAAAATAAAGCCTATATGGATACTAGGTTGCCTATTTTCTACATTTCTTATCAAATCAACTCATTCTTGCTCTTAACATGTTATTATTACCTAGTTATAGGCGACTAAGGCTTAAAATCACAGTAAAAGATCAATCCAATGTTTTTAAGACGCAATTTCATTCAAAATCCCAAATAAGGCCTACATGACTACTAGGATGCCTATTTTCTACATTTCTTGTCAAATCAATTCATTCTTGCTCTTAACATGTCATTATTACCTACTTATAGGCAGCTAAGCCTTGAAATCACAT